GGGGGGGGGGGGGGGGATGGTGCATCTCGCTGACCTACACGGGACGGATGGAGAGTGAGAATACAGCACAGGAAGAGCGAGAACGGCAGCCAATCAGACGCCTCCGTCCGCTCCAATCTACTCTCGCGGTCAGAAGTTTGAGAACATCCCAATTTTTCCAGTTTTTATGGAAATTTGACCAGCGTGATGTCCGCGAGTCCTCCGAATATAAAGCGGAGGACCAATAAAACAACCGGACGGCCAACGGACATCATGGAATCGGAAGTCTTCTCTTCACCATTGAAACTGAAACTGTACTCACCGACACCTTGGCTTTCTTAGACTTTGGCTGTGCTTGAAGCCTGGGAGTCGCCTGTCACGCAAGCCGTTGGCTCTCAGAAACTTGTCTCCCGATCCCGTTGTGGCTTCGGGTCCTCCAGACCTCTTCCTGTCAGAGTTTCCTCCAGCTTCCAAGTGCCCTTTGATGGGAAACTGTACTCACCGACACCTTGGCTTTCTTTGCCTTTGGCTGTGCTTGCAGCTGTTGTCCTGTGAGCCGCCGGTCGCGCAAGCCGTTGGCTCTCAGAAACTTGTCTCCCGATCCCGTTGTGGCTTCGGGTCCTCCAGACCTCTTCCTGTCAGAGTTTCCTCCCGCTTCCAAGTGCCCTTTGATGGGAAACTGTACTCACCGACACCTTGGCTTTCTTTGCCTTTGGCTGTGCTTGCAGCTGTTGTCCTGTGAGCCGCCGGTCGCGCAAGCCGTTGGCTCTCAGAAACTTGTCTCCCGATCCCGTTGTGGCTTCGGGTCCTCCAGACCTCTTCCTGTCAGAGTTTCCTCCAGCTTCCAAGTGCCTTTTGATGGGAAACTGTACTCACTGACACCTTGGCTTTCTTTAGCTGTGCTGGCCGCGCAAGCCGTTGGCTCTCAGAAACTTGTCTCCCGATCCCGTTGTGGCTTCGGGTCCTCCAGACCTCTTCCTGTCAGAGTTTCCTCCAGCTTCCAAGTGCCTTTTGATGGGAAACTGTACTCACTGACACCTTGGCTTTCTTAGACTTTGGCTGTGCTTGAAGCCTGGGAGTCGCCGGTCGCGCAAGCCGTTGGCTCTCAGAAACTTGTCTCCCGATCCCGTTGTGGCTTCGGGTCCTCCAGACCTCTTCCTGTCAGAGTTTCCTCCAGCTTCCAAGTGCCTTTTGATGAGAAACTGTACTCACCGACACCTTGGCTTTTATTTGCTATTTCTCTAAAGGAAAGACCTACACTGCTAAGGGTTATAATGGTCTGTCTATCTTTGTTAATTGCCCCTTTAATCACCATTTTGAGAGCAATGTACGACTTCCTGAGGTACAATACTGTCCAAATATTGCTCAAGAGGGTGTAGCAACACAGTCTGTACCATGTCAGGTGATTCGCTGGACCCGAAAAATGGGGGAGTTCTCAAACTTTTGACTGGAAGTATATAAATATATCACCCCCAATGCATGCGTCCTCCAGTATATATATATATAGATACACGCATGTCACATGGCCCTATGCATGCGTCCTCCAGTGTATATATACACATGTCCTAGGGCCCTATGAATGTCTCCGCTCCATCATAAAGTTCTCTGGGGTCACCTGAAGCATAGTATGTGTGGGATTCTCATACATGGTGACCCCCTCACTTAGCCTGCACAGTCCCCCTCGGGGTCCCCCTGTACCCTCCATGGAGCCGGTATATGGGGGTGACATTCCCAGCAACACACACACACAGATACAATATTTCACCGACCTGTAGCAATGTGCTTCCTCCATGTGCCGCCACCCGCGCTGCACGCTAGAGGGCGCCCTCTCCCCCCCTATTGCGGACGCGTCCCGTGCGAATGACCTCACTGCGATGGGCCCGCCATGCGTTCCAGGGCTCTCTTTTGCGTTTCACACCTCGCTGTAGTTTGGGGGGGCGTGTTCTGCGGTTCACAGCTCAGAAGAAGGGGCGTGACTTAGACTCCATTGCACCGCGTACTAGGCGTGTCCTGCGTTTCAGTTCCAAGCAGGGGGCGTGTTTTGCGTTTCAAGCCTCGCTCTAAGGTGGGGGCGTGCTCTGCGTTTCATAATTAAAACGGGGGCGTGTTTTGCGGTTCAAGACTCTTTTTAATGCACATTCGGCGTCTCACGCCTCGTTGTGGGACGCAGACTTCCGGTAGAGGTGACTTCTACGTGGTGTAGCTTTATTTCGGGGCTGTTGGGTGGAGTGGTGTCTCTGCTGTGCGTTGTGAGGGGATGAGGCACGCTAAAGGGGCAACGTTCTGTAATATCTGTGCTTCCTGCATTGTAAAGCTTGTGCTTCTTATGGGGAAGGGTCAGTTAAAATGTTTATGTCAGTGACGGCTGTGCTGTGGAGACCTGGCTTTGTAGCAGCATAATAATGAGCACAGCCCGGTGCAGGACCCAAACCCACTATTGTGATCTTGGTGAGGCACATGCGCTGCTACGCATGCAGCATGCACCATTTTCAGTCTGCTGTGATGCAATTTGTCAGCCTACTGAAATAGATAAGCTGCCCCTACACAACACACCGCAGCAGACCTGGCTGGTATGAATGGGTTTCTGATGCTTGTGAACAGCAGACAAACTACAGGACAAAGCACAGCTGTAGCCAATCCAACACTCGTATACACAATACTACATGCAGCTGTGACCACAAGAGAAATCTGTTGTTACTGCTGCAGATAGTAAACTCATGAAAACTGGAGGGCGGGGCCACCGCTCCAGATCGTCCCCAGGGAGGAAGGCGGGGCCCACCGCTCCAGATCGTCCCCAGAGAGGAGAGCGGGGGCCCACCGCTCCAGATCGTCCCCAGAGAGGAGAGCGGGGGCCCACCGCTCCAGATCGTCCCCAGGGAGGAAGGCGGGTCCCACCGCTCCAGATCGTCCCCAGAGAGGAGAGCGGGGCCCACCGCTCCAGAGAGGAGAGCGGGGCCCACCGCTCCAGATCGTCCCCAGAGAGGAGAGCGGGGCCCACCGCTCCAGAGAGGAGAGCGGGACCCACCGCTCCAGATCGTCCCCAGAGAGGAGAGTGGGGGCCACCGCTCAAGATCGTCCCCAGAGAGGAGAGCGGGGGCCACCGCTCCAGAGAGGAAGGCGGGGCCCACCGCTCCAGATCGTCCCCAGAGAGGAGAGCGGGGGCCCACCGCTCAAGATCGTCCCCAGAGAGGAGAGCGGGGGCCCACCGCTCAAGATCGTCCCCAGAGAGGAGAGCGGGGGCCCACCGCTCAAGATCGTCCCCAGAGAGGAGAGCGGGGGCCCACCGCTCAAGATCGTCCCCAGAGAGGAGAGCGGGGGCCCACCGCTCAAGATCGTCCCCAGAGAGGAGAGCGGGGGCCCACCGCTCAAGATCGTCCCCAGAGAGGAGAGCGGGGGCCCACCGCTCAAGATCGTCCCCAGAGAGGAGAGCGGGGGCCCACCGCTCAAGATCGTCCCCAGAGAGGAGAGCGGGGGCCCACCGCTCAAGATCGTCCCCAGAGAGGAGAGCGGGGGCCCACCGCTCAAGATCGTCCCCAGAGAGGAGAGCGGGGGCCCACCGCTCAAGATCGTCCCCAGAGAGGAGAGCGGGGGCCCACCGCTCAAGATCGTCCCCAGAGAGGAGAGCGGGGGCCCACCGCTCAAGATCGTCCCCAGAGAGGAGAGCGGGGGCCCACCGCTCAAGATCGTCCCCAGAGAGGAGAGCGGGGGCCCACCGCTCAAGATCGTCCCCAGAGAGGAGAGCGGGGGCCCACCGCTCAAGATCGTCCCCAGAGAGGAGAGCGGGGGCCCACCGCTCAAGATCGTCCCCAGAGAGGAGAGCGGGGGCCCACCGCTCAAGATCGTCCCCAGAGAGGAGAGCGGGGGCCCACCGCTCAAGATCGTCCCCAGAGAGGAGAGCGGGGGCCCACCGCTCAAGATCGTCCCCAGAGAGGAGAGCGGGGGCCCACCGCTCAAGATCGTCCCCAGAGAGGAGAGCGGGGGCCCACCGCTCAAGATCGTCCCCAGAGAGGAGAGCGGGGGCCCACCGCTCAAGATCGTCCCCAGAGAGGAGAGCGGGGGCCCACCGCTCAAGATCGTCCCCAGAGAGGAGAGCGGGGGCCCACCGCTCAAGATCGTCCCCAGAGAGGAGAGCGGGGGCCCACCGCTCAAGATCGTCCCCAGAGAGGAGAGCGGGGGCCCACCGCTCAAGATCGTCCCCAGAGAGGAGAGCGGGGGCCCACCGCTCAAGATCGTCCCCAGAGAGGAGAGCGGGGGCCCACCGCTCAAGATCGTCCCCAGAGAGGAGAGCGGGGGCCCACCGCTCAAGATCGTCCCCAGAGAGGAGAGCGGGGGCCCACCGCTCAAGATCGTCCCCAGAGAGGAGAGCGGGGGCCCACCGCTCAAGATCGTCCCCAGAGAGGAGAGCGGGGGCCCACCGCTCAAGATCGTCCCCAGAGAGGAGAGCGGGGGCCCACCGCTCAAGATCGTCCCCAGAGAGGAGAGCGGGGGCCCACCGCTCAAGATCGTCCCCAGAGAGGAGAGCGGGGGCCCACCGCTCAAGATCGTCCCCAGAGAGGAGAGCGGGGGCCCACCGCTCAAGATCGTCCCCAGAGAGGAGAGCGGGGGCCCACCGCTCAAGATCGTCCCCAGAGAGGAGAGCGGGGGCCCACCGCTCAAGATCGTCCCCAGAGAGGAGAGCGGGGGCCCACCGCTCAAGATCGTCCCCAGAGAGGAGAGCGGGGGCCCACCGCTCAAGATCGTCCCCAGAGAGGAGAGCGGGGGCCCACCGCTCAAGATCGTCCCCAGAGAGGAGAGCGGGGGCCCACCGCTCAAGATCGTCCCCAGAGAGGAGAGCGGGGGCCCACCGCTCAAGATCGTCCCCAGAGAGGAGAGCGGGGGCCCACCGCTCAAGATCGTCC